TTTCTCTCTCTCTTGATACTATTAAGATCAAATTAAAACAAATATTATGGTCCCATTTTCTCGAACATTTCGATTCCTTTAATCCCTGTACCTTCCACTTTCTATGTCCCTGTTCAAGCTGTCATTATCGTACTCCTGCTCCTTCCAGGTTTCAAGTTTAGTTTCCCTTTCAGGTGTTGCACTATCCCACTATGTAGTACCATACCCCCTTGATTACATCAAGTGTTAAGGGTCACTGGGCTACATAGGAGCAAGGTAGTCCCCTGTTAGGAGGCAGTTCCACTTGTGTAGGAGAGTGTCCCTGGCTAGTGCTAGGATCAAGACATTCTCCCCCTGTGGCTGCTCAATATACATCAGGAACCATTTATCTACCCTTTGGTCAGTCTAACTATGGAAGTCTCTGATTATGTTTGTCACTATTATTACTTAATCATTTTGTGATCTATATGTATGTATATTTCTCTTCTCTGATTTAGTTATTTCATGTTCCAAGTTATTATATTATATTTTATTTTACTTCTTCTATTTTGTTTGTTGGGTGTCAGTAGAACTTACTGGCAGCCCTTCAAGGTGCCTGTTCTTTGCTCTCTCTCTCTTCTTTGTTATACTATCTAGTTTTTGTTTTCGCATCTTGTAAAATCATGATTAAATTAAATTAAATTAAATTAAAATTCAATTAAATTATTAGTTCAAAACCAGTTCAAACTGCATTTCAAGGGTAGACAGCCCTTTAGTGATAAAGTGACAATGTGTTAATTCCATGTGGAACTCTATTGAAGTCATACTGATGACACAAGGCAGAAGGCAAACCTCTCTCAACTCTTATATTAGAAAATCAGGTCAAAAAGAAGATTATTACCTGGTTAGAAACAGCCATTAAAGTTGCATTACTACCCTTCATGTACTCCACAGACAGCACTATCCTAGTTCAGGCTGGGAAGTTGAACCAGGCCAATTAGAAAATGCCACTTAAAGATCAAGAAAGGAGCCCAAAAGACTGTCAAGAAGTAAAGATTTGATTCTTATTCTGCTAAGAGCAATGGCACCCAATATAGAGTGCTTAAAGACAAACTGGTAAGAAGTATACAATGGCTTCCTTCACGTGGTCAGTAAAGTGGTGTTGAGTGGTCAATGGGTGGAGATTATGAAGTAATCTAGCTTAAATTTATGCTCGATTTATGCTCTATATCTCATAAAAACCAGTTATTAAAGTGGTCTATAGATTGTTCTTCTAAAATCTTTTAAATGAAACACTCACAGATTCCGGTCAAAATTGTTGCCTACCTTTACTTTGTCTTACAGCTCACCTTGGCTTGAAAGAAATTGATGCTCTCAGAGTGGCTCAAAATTTGGTTCCTATTCCATTTGTTCACTTATGCCAGCAATAATTCTGTCAAAAGTATAGTAAATCACAAAATGGGAAAAGAAATTTTGACTGGAAAAAATTATGAAATAGTTACCGAAACAACAAATTGCATCAATTTCTTCAAGAAGAATGTTTCAAGTTATAAGGAGCTACAAGAGTTGCAAGAGTTAAGTGTTCTCATAGCTAAACCTCACAGCATTTTTGTCTCCGCCAATATCAACATGCATTTAACCTGATTGCAAGTTATACAATGTAAGAGGTAAGTCAATTGTCATTTATGTATCAAATTTGAAATTGAAAAAAAAAACACTTGTTTTAACGGTTTCTAAAAGGATTATCAATATAGTCAAAATACAAAATTCATAACTTCAGTCACTATTAACGCATCTCTACATAATATTGAAAAAGCGAACAAGGTTAGAAAAACATAAAGGAAAGCTGTAAAATGTAAATTGAATCAGAAAAGGAGAGCGGCTTCATAAGAGAATGAAACACAAGGACCTACATTTATAAAATTACACAGTGACAATGGACATGAAGGCAACAATGAAAAAATATAAATAAGGAGCTTATAATGCAAAAAATTGAAGAAAACCATCATTGGCCAATCTTAACCCATTAGTTGTCAGTTCCATGTGTCATACGAGATAATTTTAGACAATTCAAAGAATGTAAATTCCACTCAAAAATTGATGCAATTGTTCCAGAGCCCAAAACTTTATTCAAAATGCAATAACCTCATATTCCAAATAGTCTTGATGTTACTATTGTTAGAAAGGAAGGTTCTACAAGATAACACAAGGGCTTTCGTGTCAGTCGTTCTATAGTTCTTCATGCGTTGCACTATTTGGTGGCTAATAATGTTTACTACAGTGATGTAACTATAGACCAAAACATATCGACACTCCCTCCAGATCATGATGAGTTACGAAGTATAAATCAATGACATTTACAGCATCAAAAGACATGCATGAACATTGATCCAATATTGGGAAATGAAGTCCTTTACAAGCAAACTTATCCAGTACATTTCTTCCTAAGTCAGTCACTGAAATTATCGATTATAAGTGTCACTTTGTTGGCCTAAAACTATAGGAAATCAGCCAATTAAAAAAATTCACAACAAAGGGTATACATTACTAGGCATATGGATCAAGTAAAAGATAGTTTAGAAATTATGGTTGATGAAAAAATAAATTTAGTAAAAGATAAAATAGAAAATATAGTTATTGAAAATTTAGAAGAAAAATTTTCTGATATTGATTCAACTGTCGAAGGAATTATGAAGATGCTTCATAAGGAATATAGTGAAACTCTAGGACTTGAAATTGCTAAGACGCATACTTCAATAATTGAAATTATGGAAAATAGATTAGAAAGTTTTAAAAAAGATATTGAGAGTTTAGCGGGAAATAAATGTACAGTACGAGGCGAACGTAAATTTGATGGTGCTGCATTAGCACCAAGTAGACAAGATAGTAAATCTTCTTCTTCAGAAGAAGATGCTATTGCTAAGGTTAATAATAATATGCAATATTTTAAATATAAATGGATGACTGATGATGATTTTCGTAAGAAGGGTTTGATTACATATAAAGACAAATTGGAAGGCGATCCTAAATTTCAAGAACCACTTAAAAGTGACGATCCTGCAAGTAAAGAAGCCCGACGTAAAGCTGAACAATTAGCAATTTGGAGAAAATTATCTCAACCTGAAAAGGCAAAAGTTAGAGAAGAGTATAGAATAAATAATGGAGAATCTAATATATCAAACTGTACATATTTATCATTCACAACAATATTCTTACATCCATTACCATTTTCTTGATCATTCTCATCTTCAAAATATTGAACTAATTCATTATAACAACTTTGTATTTTTTTCCATGTGCATATTTTTTCATTCTCATCACATATAACCTGTGCTTTTCTCACACTTTTTCCTACTGGAGCAACTGGTTATCTTACATCCAGATTACGTAAAATTGGAGTTGCTAACTACTTTAAATAACACCTATGTTTTAGGTGTACCTTTGCTAAAATAAAGTTATACTAATTTTTACCTTACCATAGATATTTTACTTTGAACACTATAATGCGTCATCGAGCTTTGGAAACAGGGCGCATATTTATAAAGCAAAATCCTCATGATCAACAGCAAATAGTTGATGACTTACAAGACATAGTTCAAAATAGTGAGCCATTTACCAACAACGTTACATTTTGGCAAAACTATTTGTGGAACTTATCAATTTTGGGTTTAAACAGAAGAGAAGACTAATTGCAATTGTGGACACATTAGGGCTACCAACTGTTCTTTTACATGATCTATAGCAGCCTGAATTGGCTAATTTTTGGGGGTTAAGGATCCTACTAATAGTACTCATTTTGTATTACAGTACTGACCCCTGGTTGTACATTAAACCCTTATAACCACTCTAAATATTGATTCATACTTTCCCATAATGTTCAGTTAATGCTAGTGATAGTCAATTAATTTAATAAAATAAACAAGACCTGCCTCTGTATGGAGATACTCTAATTTAAATTTGATTACTTAAATTTTACTAAATCTTTTGTCTTGTGGATTTATTCTATCCAGCAATACTGGAAATTCCTGTTATTGACACAAATGTCGGAGACAAGATCTCATTATGTGTTTTGCCTAGTGTATACTTACACCATGTACCATTGCAGGAGGTCATAACGCCACAAAAGACTCAAACCTGGGATGCATGTTTACCACTTTGATCATATGATAGCTGCAAGAAATTCCACCTTGCCAGCATTCATGTATTATAATGGACTTGAACAAAAAAGTAAACCAGAATTTGGTATAAAGCTTAAAGATGCGTGGCCGGAGTTTAATCCACCTAAGTTCTTTGTTCCAGATTCTGTCATGAATACATATATTGGCAGTAATCTGAAGTTGGATTTGTTAGGATTTCTATCATAACAACAGAAGAAGCCATGCGAGATATTATGATGGAAGCTTCTAATTCAGTCCTGACAACAGAGGTGCAACATAAAATTGAAGGTGGAGAAGTAAGCAAAAACAAATATTCAATAACATGGTTGAACAAACATTATAAGGACTAATCCGTGTCTTGCTAATTGGTTTTTTACATGCAATCATGTCTTAAAATTCACGGAAGTTTTTTATAAGGGTATTTTGAAAGCTAAAGACTATTAGTTAAGATTTGAATACCAGCATAGAGGTAGTCCACATGGTGTCTGACATCCCTACTCCATTCCTGGGTGGCATACGTACATGTATGTATATGTAATAACATCCCAGCGAGGGATATATCACATTTAACAGCACTGAGCTCGAGGGGTGTATGGAAACGACTGTCACGTCCAGGGATCGCAATCATACATGAGACACAATCAATAGTGAGGTGCAAATGTCATGGAGTGGGAGTGACAGTAAAGAAGGCAGAGGCTATATCAAAAGAAGTGGAACAATCGTTTTGGGATTCTGGTTCGATGGGATTATATTCAACTTGAACAGTCTTGCAGCACGCTGTTTTCTTTTATCTTACACTTTATTTTGTTTTAAGGGAGTCCAGCAAGAACTTTTAGTACAACAGTTGCAACTTGTGCCAGTTGATCGTTCTATCTATATGTATAATGATAGTGTTTACTATGAATACTCAGAGTTCATTTCTACCTTTTCACTTAAAGTTTGTCTTAGTAGTGACAATAGCATCTTAGCTTGATAGATGGTTACTCCTCCAGTATCTACCGGTCCTTCTGGATCCAGGCCTCAAAGCTGCTGTTTCTTGTGCTATATCTGAAGCCATTCCACCTACTCCTGCAATCATTCCTATTCCTATTGCTGCTGCAAGAGGTAATTGCTATGCATTCACTGTTCTTTATCCCATCAGCTAATAGTACAAGATACCTTTATATCTAATGCTTATTTATTTTCTTCATGTCTTATAAAAGGCAATGCTAACAGTTAGTTTTCAATCATCTGCTGTGTAGTAGTTTGAATTTATAAATTTGGCGGGACATTTGGCAGCTGGGTTGTTCCACACCTTTCTATGGTTTCACATGCTAAGCATGCCCCACATACATTACCAGGCCTGGCTCAAACTACTCTTCAACATTTCTTCTCTTTCCATTCCTCTCTTATTTTGCACACAGGCTCTATATCACCTGTTATTGCTATATCCTCTACCCTTAAAATACCCTCAGTCAGTGTCTCCCTGCTGGGAGTGTCATTGATAAACGGTATATCTCTTCATTCATCTTCCCTCGACTCTGGGGAAGTAGCTACGTGTATACCAGCTCAAGTGACAGTCTCTTGGTCCTTCCCACTGGTTCCGGGGAAAGTGGCAGAAAGAATTAAATCTTGCATGTTTGTTGAGATCAAAGAACTCATGCCTGACAATGCTGCTTTGAAGCTACAATCATCAGATGTAGGAGCTAACTTAGCTGGGAACTCACCTGCAAAGCTGAGGGAGGTGGATGACCCACTAGCTACTTTCTTAGCCTACTTTCAATCTCGACTACAGACAAGCGTGCTAAGGATCTAGCAGCTTATGCTCAAATCACAATCCATCTAGCTCAAAGGCAAAGAGGTTGGGGCTGGCAAACCTACAACTAGCTCTTTTGCCAGCATAAATCCTCTAGAGAGATCTCCCCCTCCCTACTAGCCTCCATCCACAATGTTTTCTGGGCGAAGCTCTCATGTTAGTTATGCAACAGGGCTGATCACCCACAGTCATCTTGTGTGTTGCAGGTGAGCCTCCTAGGCCTGGAAAAGAAGCTAGACAAGCAGCAGAGGCCTGTAGGAGGTCCAATAAGGAAAACTGTAAGCATTCAAGAGGCTTGAAAACTTACCCATGTATGTCTGGCACGTGGGGCCCCTCAGCAATCATTGGGTGCACCAAGTTCAAGATCAATCTTAATCTGTAATGTCCCTCCAAAAATTATATTGCATATGTACATTGTAGATTCCAATCAACTACACTCTATCAGTAGATTCAAACATTAAATTATAGCCAATGAACCTTACAATAGCATTGTGGGTTGCAAGTCATCATTATTGGGGCGAGCCTGAGCTCGCCCCACTCTAGCAGTACTTTCAGTCACACCCCTTCTGTCTGTCTGTCCTCATATGTCACCCCTATTTATTAGTGCATTCAAAATAATGCGGTACTTTAAAGAATAATTGCTTTTATTGTTTTTTCCATCATATACGGTTTATTGCAACACATGTTAGTAGTAAAAACTAAAAAGCGAAAATAGTCAGAATACTCTTAAGAAGGAAACCATTGTCTTATTCATAATTGTTGTTACTTCTTATCAGCTATGAGCAGCTTTCAAGGAAGTAGCAGTAGCAAAGAAGAGAAGAGGCTTTTCACAATGAACGTGACAGAGAGCAAAGGAGGAACGAGATGCCTCAACAGAGAGAAGCTCGACTAGCTAAAAGGAGAGTCAAGGATGGGGCTTGTCGAGAGGCTCATAAGGAAAGAGAGCAACAGCTACAGAGACAACAACGTCTAATTACTAGCTCTACCAGAAAGAACTGGCAATTAACAGCATATAATGAACAACTAAAAACAATGACAAGAAATGTAATGGGAGAATCACTGACTGAAAAACTACTAAATATTGATAAGTTAAACTTACTCATGACTCCAATAACATTGTGAAAAATGTTACCACCACTTAACTCAATTTAGTTTACTTATTACTCCAATGATTAGAGCTACTTATGAATTTTTCCAATTTTTGGTAAAATTACTACAAAACCATTAATTTTTGCTCAGTACTAAAATTTAATGCGCAAAATGCAGCTCAGGCTCGCCCCTTAATGTTTTACATTACTTCTAGTTCATACTTCCTGTTTGGTTACATTACATTAAACTGTAAACAATTAATGTATCAGAGTGATGTAAAAGCAAATATTAATCTTAATCCATGATAGTGGCAGCCTTAGGGCTCTCATGATAAGACTGAAGAGTCAGTGCAGAAATTGGCCGTAATTAGAGCAACAATAAACCAGGTGGTGCTAAGTATTATGCAGATTTCGTTCTAGTCGTTGAAAAGGGTGATCAGAGAAGTGTCTAACATGGCCAAGAATCTCATAAGCGGTTTCCAGGTCGATTACTAGTACAGAGGCTGGTTCTTTATGCCTGATACTGTCTGATGTTAGGCGCAAGTTCAACATGAGAAATCTTCCCACTGAAGTTCAATGTGCCCTTCGGATAGAAGGACCTCTTTAGAATACGCATTAGCTTAGCAATCACCCATCAAACTTCAGTTGTCATAGTGTCAGAATATATTCATATACAGCTTTTCTTTTTTGTACTGTTATGTTATTGTATCATCTCCATCATGCTACATTAATAGGCAAAACTTCTCTCAAATAGAGAGGAACAGGGAAGGAATGCTTCTCTACAAACCTTGTTATTCCTTAAATCAGAGAGGGTAATCACTGAGTATTAGGAATAGGGTATGAGTGATTAGTTTTTGATTTAGGGTACGGGTGCCTCTATGCTATTTCGGCAATTTTATCAATTTCTAATTTTATTTTAATTATAATTTTTGCTAATTTACCTTTTAGTCCTGCCAGACTTCCTTATTGTATCAATTTTCTTTCCTTGATGCAGCTAACTTAGAGGATGACCACTACTGATTCATCAGTAACCTCTTCACCCTGGAGGTGGTGCCTGCCCAAGTGCTCTTAAAAGACTTCCCCCATAAGCCTCTGGTTTTCTGCCATTGCAGGAGTGCGAACTATATCTCAGTCTGCTTCCAGACAAGATCTGAACTGGTTAGCTCAGGAGGGGAATCACCTATGGTTTCAGGATAGGGATACCCCTAGATTCAGTGAGCTCTAATAATAAACCTGCCTTGTCATTGGTGTCAGCCGTTGACAGGTACACTCTAGACAAGGTCAGAGCAGGTGGGCAACAGACATTGCACGTGTATACACGAAATTCATGTATTTACACGAAATTCATAATAAAAAGTATATACATGTATATACACGATAATGTAAAAGTAGCTACACGATAACGAAAATAATTGAACTAGACGAATTATTAATTAATTAAGGAAGCTACACCCACTCATCAGAAAGCATGGCAGTGACTGTGAAGTACATGTATGAAGAGTTTTTCCATTTACCCTGCACCAGTGGAAAGGTTGTTCTCAAAAGCTGGCATAATACTGCAATCAAAGGAGGACTAGGCTAAGTAACAGTAGCATTTAGGAACTACTTACATTTAAGTGATAACTTGGAATTATGATTTTTGTTATTATTTACATTCAATTCATCATAATCGTTGATTATGTAACCTTTGTATCTTCTTTGAAATAAAGACTATATACATGAAAATTATTGTTCAATACAAGTAAATACACGAAAACTTTGCCAAAGTAGATGTACATACATGATATACGAAATTTGAATACATGATGCAATATCTGGTGGGCAATCATACAAGTCCAATTGAGTTCATCCTGAAGAACTATCTCAGAAATTCAAACTACTTGTCAACCTCTCAGTGCCAGAAAGGGGCAGTGTCAATGTGAATATTAGTCAAGCTCATTCATTTCATTCCTCCTTTCCCTACACAACAGTGAGAGATGTGCTGGTAGTTCCAGTGGGAGGATTACTATCTTTGGAAAATTTTTTGTTCAAAAAATACTCTGGAGACTATGATAAGATAAATGCTACATTTTCAATCTTCCTCCCAACTCCACAATGCCTAGTATCACAATACTGTTGTTAGATAATGCCTACAAAGAGCTCCACAAAGGGAATAATGAAGGTGCTGTTGTATGCATTTGGAGTTGAAGCAAATAATCATCTGGCCAGATCGAGACAACCAACCTACCAGAGTGTTTCAAGAAGCATTATGCTGCTGCTATTAGCATAATCGATTGTTTTGAAATTTTATCAAACAGTCAGCATTTTTCCTGCAACATACAGTAGTTATAAAAAACACAATACTGTCAAAGTTTTAATTGCTGCCACTCCTAGAGATTCAATATGCTTTTTGTCTAAACCATGGGGAATTAAAGTATCAGATTAAGTCATAACTCAACAGCCTCATTGCTGACCTTCTTATTCAGAAAGAGTGCTACAGGATACTAGTCTAACATACAAGACAGCATTAGAGACCACACTAAGTATGGAAATGGCCAACAAGGATGCCACTCAACTCCAACACCCACCTAAGGCTACAGTGCATGCTGTGCAGCACAAAAGGTTGCACTACCCAACATAATTCATGTTATAGATGTGGTGGTAATCATACACAAGACTCCTGCAGGTTCAAAATGGCTGTGTCATTTCAGCAAGAAGACAGGCTATATTGCGCAAGTCTGCTGTAGCCATCTCAAAATGCTGGGGGCTTCGAGCTGATGCGCTCAAAATGCTGGGGGATTCGAGCTGATGCGCTGCATCCTGTGTACAAGAGATCTCGAAGTCATCCCGTCTCCCTTCTGTCACTCTCTACGACTATTGCATAGTAGGCTGAGTAGTGCAAGGGTCTATATCAGGCAAATTCAGGCTAACATAGATATTGAATTGAGCATTGATGAACACCCAGCAGTGAGTTTTAGCATCATTGTCATTCATTTGTGTTTTGTAATATACTAGGTGACTGAAGTTTACTTGAAATGTACCAAAAGAATTCCAATGAATGAGCTAAGGAAGCATGTGGCTGGTTGTAAAGGACTTCAGTAAGTAAAAATGTTGTTTGTTTAATTATTCTGATAATTTTTGGTAGGGTTGTTGATAATGATGTTGATGATTTTAGTGATGTAGATTCCTCACCAAGTTATTCACCGTTGTGCTCCGAGCACAATTCGCCTTCACAAATTGATACTGAAGTATGTTGCTTCTGGTTGGTAATTCTATTCGATTTTTTTAGGCTTGTGGCAATGATGTTGCAGTAACAGAAGAGGTTATGGTTGACTATGCAGTAAAGATAAGTGCTTCTGGTAGTGAAGTTCAGTGCCACAATGTGTAAGTATTTTATGATTTTATACTGAGTTGCACCTATTAATGATACTCAAAGTAAAGTGTTTGAAAGCGTTACTGAAATAGCTGAACACTTACAAGGACTCACTTCTACTGATGAACATGAGATATATTTCTCGCTGTTAGAGGAGAAGTGATGTGCTCTCATCAGTTCTCTGCGGGATAGATAAAAGGGCATTTTCCCCCAATAAACTATTGGAAGTAATGCACACTATGTTGAGAGTTATCATTTTTGCTCAGATTAGCTTTTTAGGAGAGGAGGCACAGGATGGTGGTGGCCCAAGGAGGGAATTTTTTAGACTACTTGCTACCACCATTAAGGATACAATGTGTGTGTGGCGAAATGGATCGTATGTATTTAGACATAATATGTATGGAATTCAGGTAAATATCTTGCACAACTATTTATGAAGTTTATGGTTGATATTAAACAGACTAATAAATTTTTGAAGATTGGAATGCTTTTAGTGATGTCGGTAGCTCAGGGTAGTGGGGGTATCCTTTTTTTGCCAAGTGTGTTTTTGATTATCTTTGTGGTGACGATATTTCCAAGTTAGAGGTGGATATTGGTACTGTTGGAGATGAGGAGGCATACATGTTATTACAAAAAGTATTTATTATTGATTCAATTTCATATTCCATATCTTTTAGATTGAAATGGAACAAGATAGTAAATCATTGCAACAGGTATTAATGGAGTCATTTGATATAATTGCTAATGCTGGATATACCAAGCCGATCCCCTCTGTGTCCACACAAGACAAGAAAGATATTCAAAGGGCAATTGCTCTACAATACATTATACTACAGTGTATAACTGAACTAGAACAGTTTAAACGTGGATTGTCTTCCATACATTTTCTAGATATTGTCAGAGCTAATCGAGAGGTAGCTGCTCCATTTTTTATCAAAAGAAACGAGAAGCTTACTGCAGGTAATTTGGTTTTTGTGACACACTTGATTATCTCTTTTGAATAGACAAATTCAAGACTTGCTTAAAAATATCATATTCACAACTGATCTAGGGACAAATATGAGAAGTAGGGAAGAGGAAGTTTATATGTATTTTGTCAGGCTTCTCAATGAGTGTGAAGGTAATATTGTATGTTTAACTTTTATTGTTATGCTTTTGCTATAGAAAGCACTGATCCTGACCACTTGACACTTGCAGACATTTTGATATTTTTTAGTGGGGTTGACTCGATACCACCATTAGGTTTTTCTTCTTCACCAACGCTGACGTTTCACAATAAAGACTTCCCTTCTTCTTCCACTTGTGCACTCACATTGACATTACCCATTCATAGTGATTACATGTCCTTCAAAGCAAAGGTCACATTTGGAATGAAGCATCATGGGGGGTTTGAAAAACCCTGACTTAAGGTTGTTCATCTCTTCCAATTTGGTTAATATTCATATTATTCATCATTTAATAAGAACTTGATCACTTGTGTTTATATCATTTTTCTTGTGGTTTTCTGTCTCCATGTTATGGAGTTTCATTTTTGCAAGGCAATCTGATTCATCCTATTCAATCATTTACTCGATATAATTATACTCAAGTTATTGTAGTTAATTGCACGACCAGCCCATAGTTTTTAACCCTTATGCACTTCTGTTGTTGGGACTCATTTAATTTACATTAAGATTAAAAGAAAACATAAACACAATTGAACAAATTTGTTACAGCAAAATATTATAATGAAATTCCCCTCCATCTTTGAATTCTATATCCCTGTGATCTCAGGTTACCTTCCAGTGTTTTTTGTCCAGCAGAAGGAAATCTTAGCCTCACAAACTGGATCACAATGTTATCATATTGAATGAGGCTCTCCAATCCATACTGGATTATTCATTTGGGAGTAGTTCGAGTTGAGCATCCATATAACTTTGGTATGTCAACTTGAGAAAATTGAAGCTCCAATAAATTCCTCAGCTCTTCAGATAAAATAGGCAACGAAGGTTTCCCCCTGCGTCTCAATTCTCTTTCTTTCTCCATTCTTTTCAATTCTTCTATCATTATTCTCAAGTTATCAGTCACAGCAACAATATATTACCTGACAATATTGTAATCGTAGGAAAGGGACTAGGTATAGGTGGTGGTATGGGAGGAGGGTCCTCATCTATGCCTGCTTCAGTTGGTATCGTGTCTAAAATGTGAGAGGCCCTTTTAGAATTACCTGTATCCTTCGAAGCCATCTGCACCACACCTGATTAGTGAAAAATCTTTAAAAATAAAGAGAAAGGACATGCTTACCAGCCAAAAGTATCAACAAGAGCAAACCAGCAACCATTTCATTGAGTCCAACGTGTAAGTTATGTCAAATTTTAATTTTAATGTAGCAGACATGCCTACTATAGGCGGAGCAATTACATCACGTGATGACACAAAATCAATCAATGCATGCAAAATCGATAGAAAAATTGATCAAGAAATCAATGCATTAATGAGGCAATTCCATTGTTATATAATTGATCAGGATTTTTGTCCACTATGGCGTTCCATAAAGCCTTGCAGCTAATAGCAACTGAATTTATTGATTATTGTTCTAGCTGCTGCTTGGGTAAGTGTTATCATTTTTTTCAATAAAACTGTTTTTATAGTAACATGTCTCAAAAAGGTACAAGAGTGACCTCCGGTCAATAGACAATTATCAATAATGTTAGAACCTTTTTGAGAGGGAGAGAGAGCAACAATGACCAATAAAAAGAGACCAGGTAGTGGCTAGAATGTCACTTGCTGCTGGAGTAAGTGAATCCACTGTCAAACGAGTCACTAAGGAGTACAGAGCTGAGGGAGACTTAGAGTCTCGAGAAGAGATTTGTCAAAGACAGAGTACATCTTTATCCAGATGACTTCAACAGATGCCATCAGAAGAATCATTCATAATACTTACTTAAACAGGAACTACCCTACCCTAGATTCAGTGCTACACAAAGCAAGGTCAGCTGGTATATTTGACAGTGGACGAATGACTCTCAGTAACTTACTTAAATCTATGGGGTTCTGTTACAAGAACAGAGAGGATAAAAAAGTACAAACCTGGGTAATTGAACAGTGTCATCAGTATCTTCGTCAAATGACACGTAACAGAGACTGAAACGTGGACCAACTCACACACTGTTCCTGAGAAACTGTGGGTAGGCAGAAATGGAACTGGAGACGTCCAAGTGGTAAGGGAGAAAGGTTCATCATTGTACATGCTGGTAGTTCCTCAAGCCTACTAAATTTCCAATTCACAAATCTTAATTTCCCAAATTCTACCACGTGCCATGTGGGTATGGTATTAAATAGATTTTCGCGGATTTTATTTCACAAAATCAGGAAGGAATCTGCAAAATTTGCAACCTTTGAGAAAAAAACACTTACACGGTAACTGCCCTGCCCACTCTAAATTTAACCCTGTAATGCCAGTCCTGGCAGTCCATGGTCAACAAAATTAATAAATCTGATCACAATTAATAATTAAGTCTATAGAAAAATGTCCCCAGGACCTCCTTACCTTCTGCAGTATACGAGCCTTCCCAAGGTGTCTACGCACTCCACAAAGGTCATCATCATATCTTAGGGCTCGAATAAGATCTTTTACACAAGCTAAAAGGAGACTCAATGAATCAACTTCTCATTCATCAATCCCTTCTTACCTAAACATTCTGGGCCTTTATAGTACTGGTCACCATCCTTAGTGCCCAAAGCACTGTAGGTTGCAACGAGTTCCGAGGACATCTTGCCAGTTGCCGCCAAGATCACGTGACTTTCTCCTGTTGCTATAGTTACCTGTTTATTCACGGTCACCATAGCAACCGTTAGAAAACATGTCTTTCTTCAATGTAACTCAGTTAGGACCACAAAATCCTATCAAAGTATTAAAAACTGCCAACGAAAATGCAACAGGTACTAAAGAAGAGACTCCTCCTTCCACTAACAGAGCAACCCCGCCACATCAGCATGCTAGACCGGAGGATACATTCCAGATCCCAAGCTTGAACTCAATGTATAATCCGAATGCTTCTTCATTGCCATACAAAGGATCACACAAGCTATTTAGTGAGAAGAGAATGAAACACCAACGTCATCCAAAAGGCAAGTTAATTTTTCTTGCATATTTTATGCTTAAAAATTTAATGTAGGTCCAACAGATATTTACATGTACCCCATGACTACCTCACAACAATATGGTTGGTGGATGAAATATGATGCTAGAGACTGGCCAAAGGGAGAGAAGCATGTGCATGTTAACAGTGAAATGACAAGGTTAGCCTAACAACATTGCCCAGTGATGTTAATTTCATGTTGCAGATTTGTTGACGAAATGAGTGCAACTAACAAAGACTTCAGTTTGTTTTAAAAACATCATTACTAATAATTTTGTACTTTGTCAAAATAGTATAACAACACATTATAATTATTATGTCAGGTATCTACATGTATAAGTGTCCTTTTGACCACCTACTCTTTCTAAGTATTTATTCTCTATCAATAATATCCACAGATTCAATAAGGAAAATGATCATTGCAATAAAAATAATTTTGATACTGGAACTTTAGTTTTAAAATGAGATGACAACTTGTGTAACACTTCAGCTTACAATTGCTGGTGTTTTTAATTTTCCTTTTAAAAAGTTCTGCAGCTAGACCTGCACAGCCTCAGCATTATCAGCTAGGGTTGCATGTCTCTTATTAAGGCAGTCACTTTGGGCCATCCTTCCCCTGAATTGGCTGCACTTAATTTTTTTAACCAACAAGACAAAGCTAATAGGGAACATAAATAAAGAAGTTAATACTTAATAAAGTTATAAATTACAATGAGCATACAGTTTTATACAGGAGATCATGCAGGAAGAGAGTTTGATAGAAGAGAGCTCCAGAGTTCAGTTTACTGCAGAAGGGAAGAAAGAGTGGTGGAGAGAGGAAGATTTACAAAAAATAAGTGAGAGGTTGCCTTTATTGTTAGAGAGGAGAGAACAGGTAGAGGGAGGAGCAAGAACTAGGGGATGAGATGGACAAAAAAAGTCAAGTTCTCCTTAAACTTGAATAAAGAAATGGTCTTGGATTTGGTTTGGCAGTGACTGAGGAAACGAGAGTTAAACTGAGGTAGAAGGTCGTGGTAAGGTGAAGACTAGGATTTGGATGCTAAATGAAGGGCGAACTGACTCAAGAGAGGATGCTACAGAAGGTGAGGAAGGGTCTCAAACTACAATAGAGGCATATTCTTGGATGGGATGAACTATGGTGAATGAGTGTGAAAGAGGAAGAGTGGTAGTAGAAATTTCTAAAGTAGACCAAGGACTTTTCTAGCCTTCTTTATGATTGTGTAGATACCGGTATGTAGATCTCAGCCGGGAGAAAGTGGTGGTAAAAAGTAGTCCAAGGTATTTAAAAGTAAAGACTCTTTAAACTGGGGTTGATTTTAGTTGCAGAGGGGGAAGATTATGGTTTGTGGGAGAAAATAATCTTATTATAGACTTTGAGCAGTTCAGGGAAAGCTGAGAGATCCAGTCCTTCAAGTGCAACATCTGCCATGGAAAACGTCTCGCTTTTAATTGCCCGGGGTAATCAGTGAGCCTACAAGTGCCCATAATCCAACCAATTGTTCCAAAATACTTACATAGTTTTTGAACTACTGAACATCCATGTCATTTTTGCACTAATATTGGCAGCCGTCACCAGTTTATGCCATCATTTTAGACCACATCTTTGTATACTTGTTTTTAGATCAGTAGATCTATGTTTTGCTGCGTGTTTCCAAAATAAAATTCCATGCAATGTGGGAGTAGATCTATGTATAAATTGAGAATGCTGCAACTGGATCACCATTGGAGTCGATGACAAGTTGCACCCCCAAACTCTTTCCTTTATCACCCGGTTTGTTAAATACCTGGCAGGGTTGTTAATGTCATGTCCTCATCTACCAGCCACACCTCTGAGTCCTTCTTCACGGTTACGCCTACTTTTTGCTGAGCTAAAGCAAAAAACATGACTTCCACCTCGACTTCAACTGATGAGAAAGCGGCCAGTGCCTGCAGTGGAGATTAAAGGTGCCTGTTTTTCCTATGGCTCACTCTCCGTCCTCGAAGGACTTGAGATGAACGTTCCTCGTGGTTGCATGTGAGGAAGAACCTTCATTAGCTTTTATGATTTTATTGATATCTCTTTTCTCATAGTTATGGGCTCTTAGGCGGTAGTGGCTCTGGCAAAACAACACTCTTGCGTTGTATTCTTGGCTGCATCAGTTTATCTGAAGGATCAGTGACAGTATTAGGATCAACACCTAAAACTAGAGGTCATGTCGGTCTTGGAAGGAATGTGGGATACATGCCTCAGGTGAGGTTCCTTGCTAGTTGCTAAGTGTTGAAAACTAGTGCCATACCATTTAGCCACAAAGTTTCGAGGCAATAACCTTTTGTGAATCAGGCCACAAGTCTTTTTTTTGCGAATTAACTTTTGTGGCTCTTATTTTAAAGCACATGTGTTTATGGGTGATACGGATAATTTTATGGAATTAACTTTTGTGGATACAGAAAATCCACAAAAACAGCGAAAATTATGCCCTTGAAATTAAGCAGTTATATGGTATTGTTATTTTACCGGCTCTTTAAATCAAAATAAGTGATAACTTCCAAAGTTATGGGCTACCAGACTTTCATGTACAATAATAACATTTTGCAGGATCTGGCTCTGTTTTGTGATTTCACTATGATGGAAACAATGTACTACTTTGGTATTCTTTATGGCATGAGTATAAATAAAATAAAAGAAAGAGGAAAGTATCTCTTGGAATTGCTTGAACTTCCTTCTGTCAATAAGACTATTAAGAATCTAAGGTAACATAAACATTTTGCTGATGGTAATCCCTTTGTCTATAGTGGTGGACAGCAGAGAAGGGTCTCACTTGCAGTTGCAATGTTACAAGAACCCCCACTACTTATTCTTGATGAACCTACAGTTGGGGCGGACCCTTTACTAAGAGCAAAGTATAGTATATTTAGCATTATAGCTTTTTATTGTTTCATGTTATACATTGAATTATATGTAGTGCCTCAAGTACATGTAGCTTTGGGACTGACATGTATACATGGTCTTTTCAGCATGAATATTTGATGGTGCATGACATTTGTAATTCCATGATTGCAATGTACCGTACAGAAGGAAATTTTGGAGGGACTAAATTTTGGCGAATTGCTAAATTTTGAATGATTGGCGAATTTTAATTTGGCGAATTTGTGGCCATGTGCCATTGAGCATGCGCATAATGGCTCAAAATGGCGAATTTTTATTTTGGCGAATGGCTATCAAAATGCCAAATTCGCCAAATTTAACTACCTCCAAAATTTCCTTCCATACGGTATTGGTTGTTATGTTGGCAAATTTCTATGTAGCATGAGAATAAAGAAAATGGGGGATTTATTTTGGAAATTTTATCATTAATTTTCCAGTCACCAAAATCATTTTTTCTGCTATAAGGTATTGTTTAGGTACCCAGAAGTCAAATTTAAAAAATTTAATGTTCAAAACTTTTGTATTTGGTATAAGAGTATTGACAAGTATTAGGAAGTGTAGTGCTGATTTTCAAAACATACAATCTTCTTTTATCTTCTCTGATGTAAGGATGTAAAGCTACTGTAAATTGCAATAGATGACCATTAATTTTTATGACATTACAAATATGTAGAGTAAGAGTTGTATCACAATAGTAGGGCTGGCATGGTCATTCTATTTACCTTGTTTATTCTTGATAAATTTAAATTGCATCATTTAATGCTCTTTATTTTTGAATTTCATTTATCAATAGAATTTGGCAGCATCTCTTTGAATTAGTTGAAAATACAAGAACAACAATCATTATTACTACTCATTATATTGACGAAGCAAGACAAGCTCATATTGTAAGTGCACATGCTTTTCGTTATGTTGCTTTGATCTGTTATGAATGATAATAACAGTCATAGATATCTACATGTATATGTACATGTATGTCCTTATACCTCATTGTTTAATTAACACACATGTATTAATTGATAGGTTGGTTTAATGAGGAATGGGTGCCTGCTAGCTCAGTCTCCACCAGATGACCTTATTAGCTCATCTGGATTGGCAGTAATAATCACATGATTGTCACATGACTATTTTTCTTCATTTAGACACTCGAAGAAGTCTTTTTAAACCTCTGTCATGATCAAGAAGCACACGAAAAACCATCACCACAATTATCTATAGTTAGAGAATAAGAGAATGAGACTGAATAGAATCAAGAAATGTACTTGTACTTCAGATACATGTATATTTTGTTTATTTTTTGTAGCAACACTCATTAACTCCATTACATGTGTATGGAAATGAGAAAGCATTAGGAGATGGTGCCAATGAAGAGAGTTCCCTTGCAGTTGGGAGGAATGAAGCAAGTTGGACTAGTAATATGAAGAGAAGTAAGAAAAGCCAACAAGAGACAAGGATGGAAAGAAGTAGTCATAATAATTTTTTTATAATTTTAGAGTTCAAGTCATTTTGTGAATGTGGCCCTATTAATCCATTATCCATATTACCTCATCCAAGAAGGATTGCTGCTTTATGTTGGAAGAACTTTACTAGTATCTATAGAAACCCTGGACTCCTCATATTTCAGTTCCTTCTTCCTGCTATTCAAATTATAATATTCTGCTTGGCTGTTGGTAACAATTTTTCTGGTGTCAATGTTGCTATATTCAACGGTGATAAAGGATTCAGTGAGTCTTAATGTCACATTACATAATTTTGTAAGGGCTATGAAGCACTTAAGTACAAGGACAAATATATACATTTTCTCGCTGGCAAAGAAAGATTTTGTATCAATCATATTGTAATAAGTATTAAATTGTTCAAAAAACGGGTAGTATATCTATGATTATATTATGTCTGTCTTTGCTTCATACAGATTTTTCTCTTGTTGTTAAAGATTATTGCACTAAATTTGATGATATGAATAATTTTGGTTCTCTCTTTATTTCAAAACTTGATCACAAGTCATTAGATATGGTCAGCATTACTTCTAATACATGATTCAATAACAATCTGTTTAAATAATCTATCTCTTTTTTCTAGGTTTATTATGATGATAAGTCTAATGCTGTGGATGCAGTGAAGGACGGCAAAGCATGGATGGCTATTGTAATACCGGAAAACTTCACTCAAGACATGATTACAAAACTATTTTTAATAGTTGCTCATCAGAGCATACCTGATGATGTAATAAATGGATCCACTATTGAAATATTTGAAGATATGACTGGTACATAATTGTTTATTGCATGTCTGAAACCATAAATTTGAAATTTAAATTTAATTATAGATCTCCAAATAACTTACATGTTGCACAATATGAGTGCAGTTGCTGCTGAGGTAATGATATTGAAAATAATAATAGTAATATTTTATATATTAACTTTTACAGCTTTTTCTTGATGCATTCATTGATAATTGTGATGATTATTCTAGAGAAGATTTCTCTTCACCAATAAAAGTAAGAAAGTTACATTGTTGTATTTGTAAAATGTTCTACATGCATGTGTATGTACATGTATGAATGTATATAGAATCATAATCCACCTGTTTATGGTAGCCGTCATCTTTCATACTCTGATTATGTTGCACCTGGAATGATTGTCATGTGAGTAAGCATACAGAAATATATGTAATATTGTCTTCTTAATGCTTGCAAGTGCTTTTGATCTTTTAAATATTCTGCTTACATTGTGACTTCTGTCTCTTTTTCCTTTATTTTAGTATAACATTTAGTATGTCCATTGGTTTGACTGCTCTTTTGTTTGTCATTGAGAGAAAGGAGGGACTGTTGGACAGGACATGGGTAGCAGGAGTAAATGTGACTGAAATGGTTCTAGCCCAAATACTCACACAATGCTTTACATTGTTTGTACAAAGCTTAATACTAATTATACTGGTCAAATTTGCTTTCAAGGTAGTAATATGAAACTACAATGTATAAAACTTCTTTTAACTAAACTGGTTGTTGTTAGATTTATATGGTCCATTTAATGAGCATATTCTTAGTAGAGCTGTTAACAATGCTACAAGGACTAACAGGTATCAACAAATAATGCACTCAATTAATTTTATTTTAATTTATTTTTTGTTAGGAATGACATATGGTAAGTGTATTTTCAAAATGTTCTGCTTTTCATTACAATTTAGGTATTTTGATATCTTCTCTCTGCCATCAAGAAACATCAGCAACTAACATAATGGCTGGATCTGTTTATGTTGTACTCATGATGAGTTGTGAGTATACCCCTAGCTATAGTTATTAGATACTTACGAGTAATAAGTAATCAACTAGAATGAGCTATAGTATTGATAAGTGACATGTATACAGTACTTGTAAATATTTGATTGATCAAGTGACTGCATGTGTTTTAGGTATCTTATGGCCAGTTGAAGGAATGCCTAAGTTTTTGCAGTACATCAGTTATGCTCTACCTACAACATATGCAGCTGAAGCAATGAGATCAATAATGGGAAGAGGTGCGTGCATGCATATTACCATTACCTTAGTATTTAATTGGCTTAATTTTTAAAAAATACATTCATTAGAATTAGCTCAAAATTTCCACATAGCATTAACGCCAATGTGTATCAAAAAATTTAATAAACATTGGGCGCATTTTGAATCTATTTTTAGGAAAAAAACATAGGCTATAGTAAAGGGCACTTTCCAAAAATTTAAAAAATAGCCATAAATCACTTAATCAAAATCAACACAAACTAACATGTATGTATCAGAAAATGTACGTAATATGTGTTTAGAGTGCCATTTTTGGGGAAAGAATGTACAGGACATGGCAGATTGTGTGACAAATTTCTCTTCTTGTTATAGGATGGGGTTTAGATGATATGATAGTATGGAGAGGATTCACTGTGACTATTGGTTGGTTCATATTATTTGCTATACTAGCTACTGTTGGGCTAAGACTGAGAAAATAAACAAAGTACATGTATATTAAAAACAATAATTTTTCTAAATGCATTTCATTTGTATGCCTGTGCATGTACTGTATTTCCTTGAATAGGGGCCCTACTCAAATAAGGGGCCCTACTCAAATAAGTGCCTATCACTAATTATATTACCACTATAGATTATGCATATTTTACCCAGTATTATGTACACTTGTGGTTAGAGTGGTCCAAATAGCCTAATTGTTCATCCTCAGTTTTCAGAACATAGAGTTGTGGATTAGAGCCCAGGTTTTGGATTTTGAAATTTTTTTCGTGATTTTTGCCTCTGTTAAGCAATAAACGCTTAGGCCCTTATTCGAGGAAATACAGTATACATGTAGTTCATATACACAGAACTTTCTCTTTGCTTACAACTTAAAGTAAAAAATATTCTAAAACTAAATGGAGCATGAGTATCTCACTGTGTTGGCTTTTTGTCTTGTTGGTTGATGGAATGCATGATTAACTTGTAGCATAGCAGTAATTGTTAATATCTCCTCAGAGCAACCAAAAGACTCTATGAGAATGAGTTGGTGTATGTAACAGTAGTACATATATGTATGTATGTATACCTGATAATAATAACATGCGAGCAAACATGGGGTTGTAGTGGAAACTCAGCCATCTGCATGCCAAGAGGGTTGGTCAGTTTACCTTCATCATCTAATGCTAGAGGGAAAGGAATGATAGTGCATAAGCAAGTCCACAAGCATCAACATTGTATGCATGTCTACCTCCAAGAGCATAGAGCAGCTCCAGACCTTGTAACAAGGACTTAGCAGGAGGAGACTATGAGGAAGAATGAATGAAGATTTTTAAAAGGAACAAGAGGCAAATTATGCAGCTACTCACAGAGAGGTAATTGAATCTTAAGACATTATCGATTCTTAAAGCGTTCAGTTGGAGCATGACAGGAGCCATGCTACTTCTCTGAACCTCTGGCGCAGTGCATGGTAACATCAAGAGCTCTGTATGACTCCTCTATATGCATAAATATAAATAATCACAATAATATGAAGTATGGAAATAATGAATAACTGAGTAGGAGGAGTGCAATAGTAGTATTAAAGACTAGTGTAACAGCAAGTTATTGTAATAGAAAACAATTGTACATATAGTAAGTGATCCAATTTCAATTTTCTAATGCATAAAATTTTAGAATTTGCTGCTCCAAAATTGGGTAAAAGTGTCACACCAAATTTTGCCAAAATTAAAAAGGAGGGATTTTTACATTTTTCCCTGATATATATACAGGTCCTTATGTTGTAGAAAGTTTGATCTGATTCCGATCAAGACTATATTTTTTATGAATTTTCAAAGTTTGCTAAAAAATTGGGCCAAAGCCCTGTACTAAAGTACACACTCTTGGGCCATATTTCACCAAAAAATTTAAAAGGTGACAAATCTCCATTTAAATTGTTTTTTCTGATGCACATGCATGCTCTTATGTTGTGTATCAAGTTTAAGTTGATTCTCATCAAAATTATTTTTTATAAATTTTAAAATATGCTTCAATATCAAAAAAGTTACTTTATAAAAAAAGCTTACCAGTGTATAGCCTGTATACCTTCCCTGAGCAAACTCTGCCAGCTCTACCACTTGTTTGTAAAGCAGAAGACTGTGATCTTGGTACTATTACCAGTGACTCTATAATAAAAATAAATCAGTGATGTCTGGTAGAGAGAATGCCTTTAGCTTTACAAATCCACAATCAATTACTGTATCAGAATTATGATAAGAAGCAATACTGTATAGCTCCAAATTTTCGTCGGTCAAAATTTTCATCAAAATTGTCAGGTACTTTTGCTTGAAAAAATTTTTAACCAGCAAAATTTTTGTTCCACATGAGTGTTGTGTGAATTCATAATAAAAATGACGACAATTTTATTGACAAAAATTAATTTTAACAAGAAATTAAAATTTAGACAAAATTTTTTTACAGACAAAAATTTGGAGCTATATGGTAATTATTTCTTGTTAGAAAGCTAACCGTACACAATACCGTTGATGGTTACTGATGTTTCTGCTATATTAGTAGAGACAATAACCTAACAGTAATAATAATAACAGTAATAATAATAATTATTATTATTGTTATTATTATTGTATTCTTAATTAGAGGGGGTTAATTACCTTCCTTGAATTTAGTGGTGTCTGTTGAAATACTTGTATCTGAACAAAAAAATATACTAGAAATCTAATAATGATTGCAATATTGGTAATACTTGTTCTGAGTATGGTAATCCACCGTAAAGAGGAAGAGGAAGTAGCTGCAATCCTTTAGTTACTCTCTCTGCATGTTCCTTTAACAGCTTCACATCAGTTTCCACCTCTTCCTATGCAAAAAGTGAAAAAGAAGTGATTTGGTACAAGCTTGGAACACAGTTTCTATGCATACATTGTATCTTAACACTGACCCGTCCTGTGAGGAAATGAAAAAATTCCCTGTATTGTAATTGTACATGCATAGTATAATAATTTTTGAGCAACTTTAAAATACACTGACTTACAAACCTACATGAGCACTTTGCCAAAATTCAATGGGAAACCCTGATTGTGTGTACATCATGGCCTAGCACTACACTTCTCTCATCAGCTACTCTGGACACTACTTTTGAAACACAAAATAATCGTAATAAAGGATTTCTTCTCTGGCCTATACTCAATCTCCCTTCTGCTTACTGTAGTGACTGCTATCCTTTTTGGTTGAGGAACGGCCACAATGTATCCATTACCAGTCCAGTTGGCTTCGTGAGGATATTGGGGGATGTAGATAAAACAAAGCTGTCAATAAAAATCAATTCCTTTAGCACTAATTATAGTATAGTCTACCTGAGTTGTTTTTCCACTCCCAGTTTCACCAACAATGACAGCAGTGCAATATTTCTCAACAAGATACAGTATTTGTTCACAATACTAGAATATTTCGTATTTTTTATACAGGATTATACTGTATGTCATCATACTCAAGCGATTGGTAGCCTTTGTCTTTGTTCAGTTTGTTGAGATATTGATAGATGTAAATGCATGAGTCATGCAGGAGCCTGCTCCTTCACTTCCCTGCTTTGTACGCTCTAATTCAGTCCCAAGGGTCGGCTTTCTCCTTTTGATAAACTATAAACTATTAAGCCGACAAACCAGTGATTTCCAAAACCACTTTTGAACCATGCCCATTGGCCAGGTAGCCACGTCTTATCATGTGTGACATCTAAAAGTAAAACCAGGAGCTAAAACTAAAAAGCACTAATAAATTGGCTGGTTCTGGTTCTACTACTAAAATTTCACTGCTGAGTACTATCAGTAGTGAAAGTACTACCAGTAGTGAAGTAGTTAGTGTACAGTATCAGCATTGCATATGGGTCTGGCCCCGAGACTAGCATGCTCCATATAAGTTTCATTTTCAGATTAGACTAATTCATCTCTCATGAGTAATTTTTTGTTAGGGTATTGAGTGAAGACTATACAATTACAAAATACATTAGTTAAAACTGTTTGTTTAGCCATAGATCTACTTTTTATGCACTTCAGTACACAATGATTCAGTAATGATAAAGTTGCACAAGTTAACTGTTCAGTAAACTCTTTCTTCATAAAGTTATTAAGTACTTATTAAAAGAGTTTGGGAATTACTCTATTGTATCATTCCTCTCTTGTCTGGCTCTACTATAGGCAGGATTCTGCCTAGAAAAAAATTAGTGGTGGTTGAAGACTTATGTACACCATAGTGACTACAATATCATGCTTTATGCATGGTTATTAATATTAGTTGCATGGTTGGTCTAAGTGATGAACTGGTTGGTTCATTTGTTGAGGTGGTGGTCCCAACCACCCCCCCCCCAACCACCATAGGCAGAACTATGTACAGGTCTAGGCTGGGCATACTGCAAAGAATGCATTTCATAAGTCACAAAAATTTAAAATACTCATCAGAAAGCTAGATCTGTAAATTCATAAATTAAAAAAATAAAATTGCACTAAATGAAACTTACAACAATCACACTGCTTGACATGCATGGAATTAATTGGATCCGGAACCGGAACATTATTTTATGGTACATGGATTGGAAACATGACAGGAAGCCAATATTAAAAACTCCTGAAACGTCACTTCCTATTAGTCAATGGCTCTTTTCGGGAGATGGCAAATGATTTACCTTAGACAGATTTGGATCCAATTGTTGCTTCACTGTGTTTCCCAGGTAACTAGTACTGTATTAAAAAGCTAAGTAAATGAATTGTGTGCTATCATCTCCCACAATACTCACGAAGATGTAAAATTATGTCTATTATTATTATTATTATTATTGTTATTATTATTATTATTAACACCTGGTGGGCACATTTTCTTACAAACTAGCCATAGAATTACTTTGAATTTTTGAATAGATGTGATCAGTATGAGTGTGCATGTACTGAACTGGGCATTTTGATTAAATAAGGAAGGATTTTTAAGTTAGTAGCTTTTTAATCTTGGTTACGTGTACCCCACGGTGGGCACATTTTAGGCCAATCAAGTGTATATGACTTGATTCAGACATATAGTGTTTAAGAATGTACTTGTGTATCAGTTATGTCTTTTTGTTCAATAGATGTCTTCAAATAGGAGAAATTATGAAGTGAGGAGGTTAAAATTAATGAAGGTGGTGTTTCACTGCCAATTGAAGTAAGTCTATTAGCAACAGTAGGTTGATCATCTACTAAAAAGTATTATGTATTGATTTATGTCATACTAGGATCAATTTCATCTATTATGGTTTACTGGTGTGAACAGAATAGCATGTTTTGCACTGTCTTAGACTACCATATTGAGAAAACCAAGAGTATAAGCCATCAGCAAACTGTAATCATCATTAATGATTGGATCTACTTGTTTGTGGCATGTCATCAAGGAACTCATAGTCTACAAAGTCATCTACAATACCTCAGTGATAATTAATTATTATCACTCAGTGATACATAATTATTTTTATTAATATTATTGAATTTTAAATATTATTGGTATATATTTTTCTCTCTCTTTTATATTTCCTCTCCTTTGTTTCCTTCACCTTTGGAGTATAAATTAAAATTCTCATGTTGAGAATACTTTCAGAACCAGCCTTCAAGTAATACTGTCACATTTTTCCACGTGCATGGGTAATTCGTGCGAAAAGAGCATGTGACCATCCGGTCTTGCCCTGTTTCCAATCCATATAAATATCTATGGTGTGAATGAGTCTCACTCTCCACGCAGTCCACGGCGCAGCAACATTAATTTAGCGACGATACTGACGAATCCAATGGCGGCTAAAGAAACTGAAGCCAAAGCTAGCTTGTGGCAGCAGGTAAACATCCAAGGCTTTATTTAGCCCCTCTCGTGTTTTACATATGCTGCTCATGACACTAGTCTAAAGTTCAGAGGGGGACGCTGGAAACGTGGCCTGTTAGCTGTAAGGACGAGCGATCCGTTGTTCCTAAGCCCCAATTATTGAGAGAGTTGGATGACTACTTGAAGAAAGAGCTGGAGTTATTAGGCAACCCTCGACGCGGAACGCACCTGCTGAGGCTCCAAGTAAGTGATTGCTATGTACAAATTGCATTATGATGTACTCTGCACAGGCTCAGAGGGAAGTATTTGATCGCTTGGTAGAGAACTTCACTGCTTACAAGCCATTGCTCGCTTCCATTAAAAATGAGTATGATCTAATCGTTTTTGATCAGGAACAAAAGATTAAGGAGCTGCTTCCATTACAGGTGCGAAGAATATGCAGATAGACTTGTTGCAAGTGTCACAATTGTACCAGTCTGCATGTAATTACACTTTTTTAGTTTTAAAATACTTTCACAACTCATCATTGGTAAATATTATATTTACTATAGGCCAAGCTACGCTCAATGAGGGAGGAGTATGAACAAAAAATCATTGCATTGGAAGAAAGCGGTGACAAGAAACGTGAGCTGCATTTTAAATCTACTGTAATACATTTAATTATCCTCATTCATGTACTTGTACAGAGGATGGGAAGGAGAAGCAGCAGAATCACCAGTTGCAAAAAGAGATTGACACATTAATGGAAGAAGAGCTCTCCTATGAAGTACTGGTAAAAAGAGTAAGTAAAAAATAAACGGCTTCATTCAATTCTATTAATCATAAATTAACGATGTTATTATTACTATGACACAGTGTCTTTAAATGCAAATAATATCCTTCTTATACTGTATGTGTAGCTACAAAAGGAGGTAGCTGATCTATATGAGAAGTACCGTTTTGAGGCTGATGCAAGGTAAAGCACAGCTATATATGTTTTGATGTTATTCAGATTGTTCCATTTTCATAGGAGACTTCTAATTGCGGACTACAATGACTTGAAAGCTAAGCAAAACGATGATCAAGAAGATGAAGAAGTACTTATGGAAAAGGAAGACCTAGTTATTTTGAAATTGAAACTACGGTATGTAAACATACTTTATACAATAATGTAATATTTTTGTATAAAGACGTGTCAAGGAGGATATTCATGTTGCCAAAAAGCGTATTAATGAAGTAATGACTGTTTATGGTGACGTTGTTCCAAAGAGAGCATTTGAATTGATTGAAAGTTCCGTCAGAGTAAGATAGTGATTATTTACAATGATGTATGTGTCTATATGTACATTTTATATTGTAGAAGGTAAAGAGTGAGCTTGATGCAATGAAGGCTCAATAT